GACTTCTTTAAAACTAACGAATTGGTCATAAAATGTGTATAGAGGAGAGTCGTTTATTATGAGATAGGCTCCTAATATGAGACAGCGGAGTTTCTGCTAAATTAATAGGCATCATCTGTTGGTTCCACCATGAATTTATTGCCCTTGGAGTGAAATCTGTTTAGTGGAAAATTGATTGTCAGATCGTGTAATCGTTTCGAAAAAAGACTTGTTGAATTTGGATGTTGAAAACCTGCTCTCTCACATTAGAATCCTATCTAATAGAGGACTTTCCTCTACTAATCAAATATGTTTTACTATAAAAGTAAATATTATAATTCTAACGTAACATTCTTTTACGTATAATTAGTAAACAATGTGATATCATTTATTAAACAATAAAGTACAATTCTATGCAATGGAAACGAAGCATACATATCTTATAGTTGATATCTCCAGTAATGGAATATATTTTGACACTGTGCCATTGTTAATAAAGTTTTTTTTTGTTAATTTAGGATTGTTTATAATTGTTAATAAAGTTAATTGGAAAACACACAATATAAAGGCACAAAAATATCGAATGTTATTTTTTGCTACTCTGTAATATTAGACACAGTGCTTAGTTCTCACATCCAGGCCTTTCAATTTCAAATCGAAAGATTAAATTTAAGGACCAGGCTTGTGGTCAGCCGAGGGACAAGCACCGGGAATTGGAATTCCTCACGCTGAACTAGCGGGATAGGAAGTGGCCAATAGGAAGTTCTGCCTCTTCGCCGCCGGAGGTTGGCGGACACCCTGCCGCATACAGGAAATGTATCCAACGGGCATGAATCGAAGTAGCAATGAGAAACGGACAACGGCGAATAGACCAGCGGCTGTGGCCTTTTGTCGCGGATTGTTATGACATACCTATATTTTGAACCACGACCATATGGAGTTAGTTTGCCCTTGTGATGGAAATCTCACTTTTAATCGAATAATATATTGAGATAACTTGAAAAAAACATATATTACGGAGCGAACCGTTGAATTATTTTCCTTTTACATTTTACTTCCGAGACGACGCCATTGTTTTATATCGATAATAAATGACTAAACAATATTCATCTCTGTCAATTTAAATCGAAAAATAGCATATTTAGAGACACGGTTATTTTTTTTTTTACTTAAAGAATTCATATTTTGTCTCTTCTGTTTCACTCGGAATACTTGAAAGTAGTTTTATGCTTTTCACGAGACAATCCATCGAATGATCTGCTCAGTTCTTTATACTTAACCGTAGAGGTATCGAACGGCTAAAAGACAATCTTTCAACTACGTTATTACTCGATATTACTTAGAAAAAATGAATCCAAGTCGTGATGATTCTTGTTAAAAGCCAGCCGGCAATTCATCGGAGTCTTTTTCTTAGAGCTTTTTCCCGCAAAGATTAAAAAATCGTCGACGAAATAAGGAAGGGAGAAAAGGAGAGGCTCTCGCGTGATCAAGAAGCTCCTCGGTAATCATTAAACCGCCGAAGAACGTTCTCAACAAGGCTGACGTCTGCCATCGGCACAGTCTGACGTTTCATCGGCGTTTCCGTGGTATTTCATTGAAAAATGCTGGATTCCCCCTCTCTCTCTCTCTCTCTTCTCTCTCTCTCTCTTTCTCTCTCGGAGTGGCTGCCGGAACGAATGCCCGGATTAAGACAGATAAAGGAGAACTTAGGATCTCCGTGATTTTTTGCAAAGCAACCGGAAGAAAGATCTGCGGCGTGTAAAGGAAAAAATCCTTGGAATTTAAGGTGTGCGAAATGAGATCGGTAGATCGATACGGGGGAGAAGGATAAAAACTGAAACTGAAACGTAAAAGAGAAAGAGGACGGAAATAAAAAGATGAAAAAGGAGAAATGGCGAAGAAGTCGAAGGTATATTTGCGGGGGGGGGGGGGAGGGAGAAAAGGACTTGAAACTCGGTAAAGAATCGAAGAAGCAAGTGGGTAGGCGAAGGGACAGTGGTACTCAAGACAGCGAAGAGGAAGGGCGGAGGGAAGTGAAGAAGCTGTAAGTCGGTGGGCGGGGGGCGGTGATCGAGTGGGACGAATTGACAAATTCCAGGGCGATCCTGGAACACGGCCAGGACCGCGATTTCTATCGGCGGGCAACCCGACGACAAGCAGAAAAGGAAGGACGCGGACCGGAAGAACGTTACGCCGATGCTCGGGAACGATTCGTATGATCGATAGCCGCGAATAATGCTTGGGGAAACTTGGCAGCGAAAGTATTCATCGATATTATTTCTGCGATATTTTTGACGTAGCGTCGGCGATTAAGACACGTCTCGACGATTTTCTCACGGTTATATCTTGTTGAGTTGAGATAGCAAACAGCTCCATTTTAGGCCAGTGAATTAACTCAAGTTTAAACGTGTATATTGTAAATATCACTTTGTTAAAATATGCAGATTGGTAGATAAATGGATAGAAAAAATTGCAAGTGTAAATTAACAGTGCTAATGTTTTTTTAAAATAAAAAGAATTAAAGATTTTAATAAAAATTTCAGGTAAACTTTAACGTAAATAGAACCAATGTGGAAATAAAAGACTATGTAAATGCGATAAATTGATGATTTCTATATCATATAACTCGAGAAAGTTATTAGAATAAATGTTCAGATAAAATTTACGTTTCTGCTTACATTTGTTCCATTATCGTATAAGTAAATGTTATATAAATAAATCCATGCGCTTATAAACATATTGTTTATAAAATATCTTACTCTTACCTCCTTTAATGAGTTAATCAATAACATCGCATTCCGTTGTTATAAAAACAGCTGTAATGTAAATAACGGGAAAATATACGTGTATTATGGAATTGAGGAAAAATCAAGAGTTTGTATTTTGCAGAAAGGCTGAAAGCTCGTGAAAATATTTCACCCGATTAAAGCGAGAACTTTTTTAATTGGAAAGCGAAGCGCAGTAGGGCGTCAGAATAATACCGACATGATAGAGAAGAAGTAGTAGCGAACCGTGCGTTCTCGAAATTACAACATTACTGTCAAAACAAAGAAGCAATTTACCGGCGGTTTCGTCATTAAGCAAACGCAGCAAATGGAAAGAAATCTTAACAACGTACTCATTTTTACTTTCGAGACATATACTGTGGCGACACATATTATAGTGAAAGGAGGTGTACGATTGAGAGTACGATCAATCCAATATATTAATTTAATTTAATCGATTTATCGAAATATCGATTTATCCATTATCGAATAACATTTTTATCGCTATAATTGATCTATTATTCATTATCTATATAGATATGGACATAAAAAATGTGAACGACAAACTATAAACATAATCATATGTAGAGGAAAGTTTCCTATTATGAGATAGACTCATAACATAAGATATCGGGAAGACAGGTTCTGCTAAATTAAAGAGATCATCTGTCGGTTCAGGAATCCACCAGGAATTTATTGCCCTTGGAGTGAAATCTGTTTAGTGAAAAATTCATTGTTAGATCGTGTAATTGTTGCAGGAAAAGATTTGTGATTGAATTTGGATGTTAAAAACTTGCTATCTTATATTTTAGAGAAAGGAAGAATCCCTATATAATATACTAATATTAGAAATATATTATTGGCTTAGTAAACTTTACAATATTTATATCTGCCTTAAAGAGTATAATTAATTTTGTCCCTTATTCAATTTCTTTTCAACTAAATAGTGACCATTTATTAATCATGAATCCTGGTAGTATTTAGTTATAAAAGTCTTGAATAAGAATCAAAATTTTCAGGAGTGGCCCCTGGATAGGTGTAAGTTAGAATCACGAATTAAAATGAATTCCATTCTTTAAGATGAACACTGCTAATATTATGTGACGTGTGTGTTGCACATGCAAATAATATATTTCGAATATGCTATATATCGCATATTTCTACTTACCGATATTGCTAGCTTATATGTATATTCTCCCTTAATTGCATTATATATTCTCACAAATTGAAATAAAACCATGAAGATATTAAATAAATTATTCAATTGAAAGAATATTAACGGATTAAATTGCAAATTTTTTAGAAAGTCGTAGTCGGCGACAGGATATGAAGAATATCAATATGGGAATATTTTACTGAAAGCGCAGACACTTTAATTATCTCGATCATATCTATGTATTCGTATATGTAAATGCATAAAAGCAAGGTATCGAAACGCGCAGAGCGTTGTAAGAGCCATTAATAAGAGCCGCCTAATTTCTCGAAAGCCCGGAGGCCTCAACCATTATCTGGGAAACGTAACTCGGTCGAAGAGCGATTAAACGGAGGCCACGAAAATACGTCAACCCGCAGCGGCTTGCATCTGACGGAAAACCTATAGACGGAACACAACCATTAATGAAATGACAAATGTGTTCTTGTCGACGAGAAACGCGCACGCCCGTCGCATGGGCTTTCTGCGGAAATCGAATATTTAACACCACGATTTTCGAGCCATTTAACTCGATCCGAGAAGCCCCCAATGACTTCGCTACGGCAAATGTTCTTATTGTGGCGCCGACATGACGATTAGTCACTGAAGAGCTAAAAAGGAAAACTACATTAAAACCATTTCCAATTAAACTTGGAAATCACTTTCCAGAAGAAAGAAAACACGTGCTTTTTATTCTTTAAAATTAAGATTGCATCAAATCAAAGTATTATATGACACAAAAATGGTTGTTTAATCTACGTGAATAATACTAACTGAAATTTTACTAACGAAAATTATCTTGTTACATTCTCGTAAATCAATTTTTTTTCACGATGTATCAGAAAGTTTGAATTACGCTGAAAATATCAATTTCTTTATAGATGCACACACAGCGTAACTTTGTGAACGAATAATAAAAAAATCACGAAAGTTTAAACTTAATTGGTTTTTCTTCTTGGCTTCTTAGTTATTGTGTCCGTCGCTGCGGATTACTTCTACGCTCAGCCTCGTATGATAAATTGAACAATAAGCTGAAGGATGTAATAACCCCGATGTAATTTCAGGTGAACTGCCAGCCGCTGTACACGACGGGAACGGAGTTTCGAGAGCGTTCCTTAATCTTTGGCTGGTTCACCTGACGATGAGCTATGTCTTCACCAGATGACAGTATTAAGGTAAGCACTGTAATAAAATTCGGAGAACTATGAAATTTTCACAGTTCGCCTCATATTTGAAAGGAATAAACTCTATACTGCATAGTGAATAAATTATAGTCAAACACGATGTATTCGATATCAAATAAGTGTAAAATAATTAAGGACTGTCGATAATGAAATCAGCAAGTAAAATACGAGGTGGGGTTTGAGAATACAACGCGATTAACAGTGAATAAGTGATAACAATCTTCAATTATTAATGAGGTACATAATTACGAGTCGGGCATTTCAATTTTGCTTTAAACTATCATTAGCGATACGATAACAATTGCAGTAATCTTGCATTATTCGGTGAGCAATAAAACAATGGTCTAAAAGTAGTATAATTTCCTGTGAATATCCAAATAAATTTAGCCAATAATTATAATTTGTAATATGATTAAAACAGAAATGACACAGTCAGAGCTTGAATGATAAAGAGAAGTCACTTACCTAGTTAGCTCAGAAAATGCGAGAATAAACGTTGAGGCCATGGTAAAACATATTAAAAGATACAAATACAATTTACAAGAAAAGGCAGTCATTACATTTGAGACAATAATGTGTCAACAGAAAAACAGGAATTATGATTTATTAATAACTAAAGATTGTTATTAAAGCCCGCGACTTTTTATATTTATTCGATATCCAATATCGAAGGAACAATTTATGGTTTATTATGTACAATGAGTGTCAAAATCTTTGAGCTTAACAGATTCTTTGACCATTTTAAAGAGAATCATTTACTTTGACTACGGTAACATACAAATTTCCCGGTACATTATAGTTACATAAGATACCGTTGCAAGCTGAGGCAATGTGTGTGCATAAGATTTGGCTTACATTAGTTAAATAAGTTTGTCAATATTAGATTTATGATCCATGTTTTAATATACATATTCTTTAGTATTGGTAAATTATTCGGAAGAAAATTAAGTATCGTTGTCTATTCTCACGTTGAAAAGCTAACCGTGGAATAGAAAAATCTAAGTATCACCAAAGACGTGCAAAAAGTGTGAAAATTGCTCTATCTAAAATTATCGAATGTAGCACATGAGGGTGTGACCGACCTCGCAAGCTCTCGATGCTAAAAATGACTCTACAGATTGTTAAATAATCGCTCCCGATAATCCGCCACGGCGAGATTGGCATCGAAATTCGTTTGAAAGTAGCGCATAGCACATAGCACTGTGTTGAAAATCGCTGTGGCGAGTTCGAGACAAAATTACGACTCTGCGATCGTAATTTGAATAATTTTCGTAATTATTAACGCTTTATTATTATGAAACGCTTTAGGGCTTAGGCAATTGTCGATAACCAGCAGCCTCGCTGAAAATCTTTGTTAGACGGTTACAATCTCTTTCTGATTTCTTGAGTTCATCGTCCCTGTCTCGTGGCTACTTCTTTCGCATGCTAGACATATTCTTTGCGCCTCACGATGCAAGCTGCTTTATTTTTTCTCATCCTCACACTCCTCGTTTTTTTTCCGTGTAACCGCCTAATCCGAGTTTCAGATGAGTTTTCAGGAAGCTCATCGACTTATAAGAAGCTCGTATCAAGCGAGTTTCTGGGTTAACGCGAAATATACATCCTTCCGCAAGAAGAAAAGAAGAGCAGAAGGATCACCGTGGCTTCCCAACGATATCGAAACCCCTTATGCGATAGCGAATCGACCGAACGTTATTTTGAATATCTTGAGAAACAGATTCTATTTCAAAAAGATTTAGCTGAAAAACGAAAGAGATAATTTTATCTTTTGAAAGTTTTGATGTCTATACATATATAAAGATATAACTACGTGTATATATGGTATTATTCTTGAGAGAACTTTTACAAAACTTTTACGTTTTATTCTTATCGCATACTTTATACCTACAAAGAATTATATGTATAACAATACAAATTATACCAGTAAACGTTATAACATTTTGTCCAGCTTATATCGCATATTTATAATAGTCTTCACATAAAATAAAATTAAACAGAAAATCACTAACAAAGAAATTTAAATAAATTCCTTTACCTTTTTATGTTATAATTGTGTTTGCTAGTACACGTGTAAACTAAAATTAATATACGTGTAATTGTATTTTAATTTTAGTTTGCTGTTTAATTACTCCTTCAATTTTAAAGTTTTTCGTTTAATTATAAAATCTTTCCAATTAACGAGCAATGACGTTAATAACTACAAGTTTGTATATCAGTTTTACAGTTTTTACTTTGAACGCGAATATGTTTGAGCAGTACACTAATGGAATTACGTAATGTGATTGCTGAAAGTTATTGGAAATTAGAACCACGTCATCGAATGTTCCATTAGTTTTTTCTCCTGCATCGTGCATAATAACATAAGATGTTAGCTAATTAAAAAGCGGGTAACTAGAGTAGATCAAAATCCGATAATGTTCTTGAAAAGTATCGTTGGAACGGCCAATATAACATTCTAGCAACTTAAATAATCGCATTCCAACTTTCGATGAATTCCCAAGTAAAATGTTTTACGAAATCCCAGCCAAAAAGAAAGAATAGGTTCTACTTCATATAATTTCAAAAGGTAAACGTGTAAGCTGTTTATTTCGAAAGTTATGTAAGTCCGATTAGGAAAGTCTAGTAGCTGCTTTGAAATACGCCATTAATTTGTATTTCCGCGTCATTGTGAAATGTTTTAAAGGCAGACCTTAACCAAGATGTTAAAATAAACAGGTCAGATATAATGGCCCACTTGAATGAAATTTGCACACGCGAAAATTTACATTTTGATGAGTAATTCTAATTTTCCATCTGTTTTGTCACGTATAAGAACTCTGGATTGTATTATATTAATGTGAAAATTTATAATTTAAATTGACATTTATTATTGATGATTTTACTTCCGTATCAAACAATTTCCAAATTAAATTCCGGACTAAAGTGTTCACTCGTCATATTATCCGTCTCGCAATTATTTTCACCTCCATTCCAATGCGATTATAAAGAATCAAGAAACGAATTGTTTAATTCATTGTTTAATTTATTAAGAAATAATAAAGCGTATCAATTCTAATCTACTCCAATATAAATGTTACGAAATAAAATAAGATCTGTATCTTCTTCTGCGCATAAAAAAGAGATAGGAAGAGAAAGAAGTTAAGCTCACATACAAAATAGTTTTAAATTGTTTCAACTTTCATAAACTACTTTATTTATTAATTACTATTATGCCTATTTAAATATAATTAAATTTACGTAACTAGACCAGACCTCATTGTGTCCAGAGTAATAAAAAAAATAATTCAAGGCATAATAACATTATATTCTTAATGAACTACCTTCAAAGGCAATTTATGTAGCAGGCAAACCATTACATTTTTAATTTAAATAATTAATAGATCGATTTATAAAAATATACTTGTATTAATATACATTTCTAATCGGAGCATGTAAATTTTCTTGAAAGGCTTTCTACTTAAACGACTCGAAGGCAACTGTTGATTCCGTTTGAAACAAAGTCGACCAACTCTAAACAAACTGAAATTTAAATGCCCACCTCTGACTTCGCACCCTAAGCTGCAACAGCCAACCAATTGTTTTCGAAAAACTTTATTGCGTTCACAATTCTCTTTATTGCAAAAATATGCCGCGCCGCGAGGACCCCGCGAAACTACTCGTTGTGAACTTATTATCGCCCATATCCCCGCGACATCGGCACACTTCCGCGTATTACCGGATCCCCAGCTGTTATCGCGGGACGAGTGGAGTTTGCGGCATTGCCGGGCCGCGATAATTGCAAGTTTTCGCGCGTTCGCCATCGAAGCGGCGGGTTCGCGCGACCGCGTCATAAAGTAACGCTGGCGCCAGATCATCCATATCGCGGTTCCCGAATGCGTAACGTGAATTAACCGATATTCATAATTCAAGCTTTTATCGTCACCGCGTCGAATCCCCCATTGTGAAGATATAATTTCGCGATGAGCCGCGGGAGGAAACGGCGGCGAGGCGACGGGGGAGGGGGAGGGGGGAGGGGGGAGGGGGAGGAACGGGCGGCGGGTGGCGGTGGATGCAAAAGAGAGGGTTGGCTCAATGCCGCGGCATCGCCCCCGTATGACGGCTCCCGCGGAAACTATAGCTTATACGGTATAGTTTCCACCGTGGTATCTCACCTCTGCGCTTTCATTATCAGCCGCCATAGATCACGGCGTGAGCTCCCCGTGACGTCACATCCGTCCATCCCTCATCGCAAAACACCCGTTGTTGTACCCGGGGCAACACACAACCGAGCGAGGAGGAGGAGCGTTCCTCCGCGCCCCTCTGGACCACCCGCGCTCGCAGCCACCTCGCATCCCTCTCACGCATCCCGGGCTCCGACCGCTAAAACCCGCGGCGCGCCCTCGTCTCTGTCGCTCTCGGTACGGTTTCGATCGCTCGAGCACCGACAAACCGCCGAATTAAATCCGGTGACATCCTTCACTATCACGAAGTGTGTCTGACGTCGTGTGTAATTCACCGTGTGTGCATATGACGAGGGACGTGATGCCGCGCGTGACTCCCCCCGTCGCACCGCGTTACGCACGCGATCTGCAAGCCGGGGTTAATGCCGACGTCGAGATGGAGTCGTCGCGGAATTGTTGTCGCGTATCAACGTTCTCCGCATTCTCCATATTCTCCGAGAAAATTCGCGGATAGAATTCGAGGCGGGTGGGGAAGTTTTCCGGGGGCGCTGTAACATAGAGCTCCGCGATTTCATTCAATGTGATCGCTATTGCGCGATTGCTGCGATTTTATTTGCGCCGGATAAGCAGTCCCCTGGAAACAATCGGTGCGTCGAAGAGCGAACAGCTAATATTATTATGCGACATGCGTGCTTGCAAAGATGAAAAAATTATGCAGTAAGTTTTTATTTTTATAGTACAACGGAAACACGTGCCCCCTTAAATGTACACGGAGAGAATTTTCTTTTAAAATTTATCTGGAAAATTATACAATCGTGGAACAACACGGCA